TTAATGTGAAGAAGTTCTTTCCTTTCGCCGTGGAAATCCCATCGCCCAGGCAGACCTGCGGAGAAGATAAGTTGGGCGGAACCTACTACCGGTTTGAGTGGCACGTTCATTTATAAAACAGTAAGAGTGATCTATGCCTGGATTTTTTTTCTCCAGTAGAATATGACGATAAAAACTGGAGCTCCTTCCAAAGAAGCAAAGCTCACCCTGAGCAGTGGGTAGAAGTCACCACCGATCCAGACAATTTATCCTGAAGCTTGCAGCATCACTGTCTCCTTCAGTCAACAGCTTCCCTTTAGACCTTACTTAGGAATGTCCTCGTCATCGGTATCCCCTTGAAAAGCTCAGGGCTTTTCACGTCCAAGATGAAGAACCTAGAATATTCCAGGAGCAAGTAGGGGTGGGGCATTGAGTTCAGCCTGGGAAGCAGTGTTGGAAAACTGAATCCAGGAGTGACCACTCTACACTAAAGAGGAAGGCTAAAATCTGAACAGAGCATAGGAGGAGCGATTACACTGCACAGACAGACCTACTGTTCTCAGACTTCTCCGAGGATGGAAGAGGGATGGGTTTCGCTGGCCTTGGGCAGTGTGCAGGCGCCTGAGTGGGCCGTGTCTGTGTGAGGGGGGAGTTTTGGGAGGAATGGAATTGGGGAAGGGAGATTCCATTAGAAGCAGTAACTCTCTGTTCCTCTCCAAGTGGCTTTACAAGACCACAAATGAAGTCCACAGACACTTGAGGAGAGACAGAGTGCTTTCTGAAGCCGCACAGGTGGCTGAGGTGCTGCTTAATTTCCCTGGTGTTTATTTAGGTGCAGGAGTAATTCTAGAAGAATGTGCAGAAGGGCTGGGCCCTGGACAAGCATTATAAGGAAGCAGAATTTGAGTTAGGTCTCTGACAAACACAAAAGGAGACTGTATATTTCTCAGGAGGGCTGGAGGGGCAGGATGACTGAGGTTAGAGAGGGAAAATATTCACCATGATTATTCAAACAGGAAAAATGGGCGGGGCTGGGGGGAGGGTTAAGGGGCAGTAATAAGTACAATGAGCACAGGTCTGGGAGGCAGACAGGCCTGGTTAGGACATCAGCTCTTCTACTTTCTAGCCAAGTGACCTCTGGAGGGTTTTTCACGTCCTTTACGCCTCCTCTTCCTCATTTCTTAAATGAGAGGAACACAGCCCACCTTCATGGGCTACAGATCAAAGACACTGTATGTAAAGCTCTCAGCACAGAAGCTGCCGCTCAGCATGTAGTCAAGAGCCAGCAGGTTTAAAAACAGCATTAAAAATAAAATGACATTGGGTGAGACAGGCATGGGGAGGAGGTCAATTAAGAAGTTGGGGAGATGCCTCAACAATTAGCAGGAAGCCTTGACCTTTACCCTTGTCACTCAGTTAGGTTTTTGAGCTGGAAATATGATGACATCAATGTCCTAAGAGGATTACCTTGGTGCCAGTCTGTAGGACACATTGGAGACACAGTACACCACTGTTCTCTGAAGCTGCCAAGAAACAAGATTACCGTGTGTGTGTGTGTGTGTGTGTGTGTGTGTGTGTCCCACACACCTGAGTATCAGGTCGAAAGTGAACATGTCTTCTTGGAAGGAGGACTGGAATGAGCTTCACTGGATCCCACTCTACCCTACGGGCAAGTAGGACCATCCAATAGTTGTATCGATAGTAAGCTTTCCGGAAACAAAACAAACAATGATGACTCTCTCCCTGGCTGCTCAATTCTTACTCTCTCACATGGCTTATAAGCCATAAGCATCCTTATCATTTAAATTAGATGAGTGTTGACATAACTTGATCTTTAGTGTTTGTTTATTCTTGTTTTCTCTAACAAAGAGATAATGAACCCCTTTGTGTATATTTCTCACACTTGCACTGGAACACAGGCAGGCTAGACAATGATAGCTTTTAAGTGAGAACAGAGGCTGCCTCTGGAGTTTAGGTTGATGAGAGTGTATTCAAGGCAGACAGATATTGACTGATAAACCCACACAAATCTCTCCTGCTTCTTTGTTACAGGATCTAGCAGAGACAGGTCGCCCTTGAGCACATCAGAGAACCAACCATTTCATCAAGATTCCTGGATCAATGGGTGTCTGCAACTGGAAGTGAATGGACGCCTGGTTAGGAGCACAGAACATGACGAGGGTCAACGTATGTTAGCAAAGACCACTACGCACTGGCCGAGGTGAGATCCACCAGTGCCAACCCCAAACCTGACAGATACATGGAAGGTTTACCCAGGAGAGAAAGCAATGGCGAGAAGCAGAGTGAACGAGACCACCTCTAACTGGTGAGCACGCCAGGGTCAGACCTTCAGACGGCCTTCCGTGCTCCCAGGATGGATGTGCCATCCCCTGAGCTTGCTCAGGGGCCATCGAGTCAGCTCCAGGAGGACGGAGCGAGGCTTCCCTGGAGCAAGAGGAAATGGAGAGCACTGGAAAGATCTCAGAATCGAGAAGACATGGGTTCTAGTCCAGCTCAGAGAACGGCCAACCTGCTCCAACTGCTTGAGGATCTGCGGAGGCGCAGACGCTAAGTTACACTGTGGACGTTAAAGGTGGGCACAGGTGCTGCCTCTATGAGGTTCATTGCCTGGTGCCGGAGGACTTCCCCACACCTGGTTCACGCAGCCCTGATGCACATGTGCCTTCCCTGGGACACAGGACCCCAGCGTGTCTGAGCAATTCACGTGTCTCTGAACCCCCATTCTGTCACCTCTAGGATGAAAGCCTGTGCTGCCTGCTCCCCTGTGTCCTTTCCACTTTAAAAGCTATGACGAGCCTGGCCGGTGTGGTTCAGTGGTTGAGCGTCGACCTAAGAACCAGGAGATCATGGTTCAACTCCCAGTCAGGGCACATGCCCAGGTTGCGGGCTCAATCCCCAGTGTGGGGTCCCTTCACCTCTGAAGTCAATAAAAAAATCAATAAAAAAATAAAAGCTATGATGAAACTCCTTTCTTTCCATGGCAGCTCTTACGTACCTGCCCTCCTCTGCTGTTGGCTGAGATTGGTGCGATCGGAGGGCTGGGAGGCAGCAGCATGCCCTGGCACGGACCTCGGCATAAAAAAGGAACAGCCTGTAATCAGTGGCTGAGATAATATGAGTATGTGACCTCTCGGTGGCCCGCTCAGCATTCTAGTCGGAAAGAGGCTCCTGAGGTGTAAAGCAAAAGCGAGCCCGGGCAGTCTGGGAGTTGAGAGGTCTGCAATGGCTTCGAGAAAGAGCTGCTATGTGGGGACTGCAGATCCACAATGCGTATACCACCCAGCGAGTGTGGCTCCCACCGTCCCACGGGGGCGCCATGAAAAGTGGGCGTTTGCCATCCTCTTTCCCATCACTCACAAGTGACTCCCATTGGAAAAAAAGACTCAGATCCATTAGCAATAGAGAGGTCAGGACCAGCTCCTTCTAGGTAAAAACGAGGGGCGGGGGAGCCCTGACCCTGTACGAGTCACTCCGAGTTCCTGGAAGCATCCCAGAGAGATAGGGAGGACTGTTAGAAGCACTCTCACATGCACGGAATCATTCCACTCAACTGCCACACACTCAGAAGACCAAAGCTAAAGCAAGTGGTTGGGAAAGATACGGGGGAGCAAGGGATGGAGCAGAACCATGTTCCCTTTGTCCTGAGGTGTCTGCTCTGCTAGCCCTCACCATCCTGTTCTTTACCTACCCACTGTTAGTATAAAGAACCCGACCCGAGTTTCCAGCTGCAAGGATCGGTTTGAGTTCCGCCTGTTCACTTCAAAGTCACTCCCAGTAGGGGCTTTCAGAGGACCTGGATAGAGATAAATCTTTGAAATGGTTCAAGACATCCCTAAAAGAGCAGCCGTCCATGTGCATGGAGAAAGATAGGTCCCACACTAAAGAAACGTGGGACAAGACAACCAAGCTTCCAAAGAGCAAAATTAAAGGGTGGATCCTCACATTATAAAATATGGGGAAGGCCCCCAAGACATTATGAAGAGGAAAAACTTACGTCTCAGAGCAATGATCACAAAAGAATCCAATTTTTGTACTTCTATCATCTATCTATCTATCTATCTATCTATCTATCTATCTACAATATCTATCTGTCTATCTATCTCATCCATCCACCTATCTATCTCCCATTTAGAAAGACACACATATTAACCATCTTTCCTCGAGTAGGCGGAATGGAGGCCGACAGGGGAGGGCTGAGCTTTCACTCCTCACTATTCTCCTGGAGCATTTCACTTTCCCACCAGAAGCTGTATTTATACAGCACTGGATCATTAAAATCAAGCACTGCTGTGTTCTTTGCCCTTTCCTGGATAAACGAATAATTTAAACTGTTTAATTCACTGAGAGATTTCCCTTCCATGTCAGGACCACGCCCAGTGCGTAAGAACCCAGCACCTGTGCAGGGCGCCCCGCCCCCTCCCTTCTCTCAGGCTCCTTGGGAGGTGATCCGGCTCTTTGCCACCCAGGGCTGGTACCCACCACATCCTTTCAGACGCCCGGAGGAGTGATCGGGCGATCGGGGACACGGCTGAAATGCCAGGTTGTCAGACAACAGCCCTGAAACCTACAGAACCGCCCGCGGCTGCTTCCAGCGGGTCCCCCACGAGGCTCCCGCGTGTCCCAACCACCACGAACCCGGGGGCAGGACCCTTCCAAGGCACATCTTAAGGAAGCCGCTGATCTGGGTGGGGAATAAGGCTGGGATGCGGGCAGGTCCGCAAGCCTCCAACATAACCCAAGATTCAAAAATGCAATCACAATGCAAACGGGCACGTACCCAGGACCTCAGCTGTGCAAACCCCCCAACCATGCAAGGGAAGGGCTTCAGACGCCGTGGCTACACGCACGGTTCATGGAAAGCCAGGCTTCACAAGACACACACACACCCTCGCACCAAGAACATGTCTGCCTGGCTTCCCATTGATCAGCGTCCATTAGGTGGCCGAGCCCTGCGGCACCAACTTCTGCAGCCGCGCGCAGCGATCGATATTTATCGTTACCTTTCTCCTTCACCATGGCAACCCGGTCCCCGGCGCAGCGCGGCGCAGCGAGCAGCCCCGGAGAAAGAGGAATGAAGTCCGGCCGTGGGGCGCGCCCGCCCGGGAAGGCTGGCTGGCGGGCAGGCGGGCGGGCAGGCGGGCGGGCAGGCGGGCGGGCAGGCGGGCAGGTCCTCCGCTGCAGAGGCTGCGAGGCAGATCGCCGGGCATCCACTCGCCCAGCCCGGGACTTCTTCCTAAAAGCCCGCCCCCAGCGCCGGGGCCGAGCCCGCGCCCGCCCCTGCGATCGCCACCGCGCGGCGCCGAGCCCTGCGCCCTGCGCCCTGCGCCGCCCGCCCGGGGACTCTGCCCTTGGGCCGAGCCACTCGCTCCAGCTGCCGCCGCCGCCGCAACAAATGCAAAATTCCACCACCGCCCAGATCTCTGGCCGCGGACACCACCTTGCATTCCCCGGCCCCTCCCCAGGGAGGGTTGGCTGTCTGCGAAATGACGGCCCGAAGACAGAAGAGGGGGGCCCGCCGGGGAGGGGGCGGTTCCGATCGGTAAAACCCGTCAATGGTTAGCTGATCCGTTTCCCAGACCTGCTGCGCTCACGGCTTTGACAGCTTCTGTCAGACACAATCAATAAAATTAGCCAACGGGATGCGAGTGGCCCCCTTCAAGTTCATGTTCCCCAACTTCTAAGGTCCTGGAGGCTCAATTAGGATGAAAAATAAAGAGAGGCGCTCCATTTGCCCTGCGGGTCCCGTCCCTCCCAGTGGTTTACCTGAATGGGGGCGGAGTGGGGACTGGGACAATGACTGGGAGCCTGGGAAGGGGATCTTTTCAGGATCCAATTCCGCCTCCAGGATCAAATTCTGTATCCAAGGAAAGTCCCCACGTACCCAGTTAGGCAGGATTCTAACCTCCACCTTTCTCCCCTTCATGGGACTTTTCTGGACCAGCTCCTTGGATGTGAGGGAGGAACCCTAGCTACAAAGTGAGGGGCAGTCACAACGCACCACTCGCCAGTCTGAGCCTGACCCCAGTGGCCTTGGCTTCTAGCAAGGCTTTCGCGGAGGTCGCTCTCGCAGGAGCAGAGGAGGTGGGGTACATTCCACCCCCTGTCTCCCCAACCCACATGGTGTGTTGCACCCCCACCGCACTCCTATACATCCAGCACGCGGGGCCGGTGTGAAGAGCAAGAGGCAGAAAGACAGGCGCAGCCCCACTGCCGAAGAGCAGCAGATGGCCGGCGCATCTTTCCTAACCGCAGCGCACCGCCAGCGCGAGCCTGTATTTACTGCAAACATTGTAACTGTTGGGTCCGGGAGCGCCAGGGGGATAGAAAAGATGAAGCCGGCCCACCACTTCATCTTTGACTCGGGGGGTTGTTCACATAGCTGGGCCAGGCCTTCCGTGGGGCTTTCTGATGGTTTGCAGTCGCAGTTCTCAAGCAGCTGTGACATGCCTACCTCTGTGACTCAGGCCTGTGCTATTAATAGCTTGGGTGTCTCAGGAAGAGGGCTAAGTCCACTCCAACCCCTGGTCGCCTTCTCTGTGACACATACTTCACCCACACGACTCCCTGCCTCTGCGGCAGCCCTGTAGAACCCTGGTTTTCCTAAGTCAGCAGCCAGCTGGAGTGTAAGCACCCAAGAGCCTTGAAGTGGCGTCTCTACCCTCCATTCAAGCAGGAGAGCAGCAGGACCTCCAGTCCAGAGAGGTGGGCAGGGTGAAGAGTACGGAGACCAGCCCTTTGCCTTCCCCCATTTCAGTGGCTGAAACAGCACGTGTCTTCTTTTCCACCCTGACCCCTCTCAGAGCCCTGAAGGGGATGCTGACAAACAAAATGAACCTCCAAGAGAGAGCTCGAATGAGTTTGGTGCTGGGGGCCTAGCTGGTGACTTTATTTGATTATGTTTTTGCTCCATAAATAGATTAGCACCTCATGGAGACGCTACTCTCCAAGGCCTTCCTGTCATTCAGCTCAAAGCCAAGGGAACAGCGTCCCCTTCCCCTTTCCCTCCCTTCCCCCTCCCTCTGTCCCTAATGGAACGTGACAGTAAAATGCCCCAACCCAATCACACATAAGCGTTCCAGATACTACCAATGCAATTAGTTCCATTTCTCTTTTACTCAGGATGGCCATTTTGAGCCCTAAGGCTTAAGCTTATTAATGAAATCGGTTCCTTACGACAGTTCTCAACCTACCTGCCTGCCCCTTTGGCTAAACTGGCTAGGCCCTCTGGGTTAGAAAGGTGTGGAGCCGGGAAGGCAGAGTAACAGCTGGTGCCCATTCATCTGCAGAGAAGCCTTTTCTACAGGAAAATACTACAGAGAGGTCGGGAGGTCCCCCCTCCCGGGTTTTCCACGGAAAGAATTTTCCTGTGCCGCAGTCAGAGTGAATGAGTCACCAGCATGGAGTTGCTCAATAACAGTCATATGGCTGAAGTCCTACCCCGCCCCCCCCACCCCCCCAAACAATCCGACACTGCTACTTAGGATAAAAGCACCCACTCTGCACTTTCCAGATAACCAACCAGGATATTACCGAAGTTATTTTTGGAATGTGGGAGAGTAAAACCAAATTGTTTTTGTCTCCTGGCCTGGGGCTGTATAGTTCAGACCTTTCTGAAGAAAGCAGTGAGAGATTTTCTACTTTACAGTGAACGCTGCAGGAAGTGCAACAAAATGCCATCAGGAAAACAATGAGAAATGGACAGCTCCTAAGACTCTTCTTATTTCTAGAAATGATTTCCAAAAAACTTAATCTCATTGCGTTTGGATGAGATAAGACCGCGCGACAGACACTCACTCGGGATTTCATTTGATGCTTTATTGTCCAAACTGACTCCCGGCTGCCTTTTCATTCACTCGCAAAATGAAGCAACAACACTTGTCCACCAGGGACCAGAGGACAGAAACCATTTTGTTGGAGAGAAAAGCCTGGTGAGCACACGGCCAGCTGGTTCTTGGCAGAACTCCAAGAGTGTGTCATTTCGCCAGAAGCCATGCCAATGGAGAGAAACGCTACCTCCTGCAAACAAGCGACCTGTCCGAGTCCACTTCCTCATTGCTCTCTCTCTTCCACGGAGCCGGGGATTGCCTGCTGCTTGTGCACCTGCAGGGCAGGAAGCTCAGTTCCCCGTCATGGCCAAGGACCCTGGGTTTCCAGGTGTCACCCTTCCACACCTTTGGACGCATTAGCAAGAGAGCCCTCCATGTCCTTCTGGCAGAATTCAGCTGGAAGCAAACTCAAGAATGAGTTCCTCGTGTTAATGAAAAAGCCATTGAAACCTGTAAAGAATTTTAGTGAGTTTATTTGAGCCAAACTGTCGACATATGCTGGGAAGCAGAACCTCAATGGATTGAGATAATGCTCTGGAGAATGGTGGGTTACATTTCTATTTATACACTGCAATCAAAGGAGGGACATAGGTGGGTGACATGAAATTCATTGGTGATGGAGTAAGGAGGCGGGAGAAAGCAAAGCGGTGGGAAACCCCTGGGACTGGATAAAAAGTAAAATGACGGATGCGTACTTAGGTGAGTACAGGAACAATTAACATGATAACAAAGGAATTCGAGGCATCTGTCCTGGTGCCCACCACATTTGGTTGTGCCCCAGGGGCTCCAGAAAAAGGGAAGTTACGAGTTACCCAGACATCTCAGAGATATGTTATCTTAGAGGCAGGAAGGCAAATGGGCTCAGTAAAGAAGATCTAAATTGATCTTTGTCAGGTGAAATATCAGTCTTGGACATGTCTACCCACTATGACCTGTTTGTAGTTAGATATTTAATTTTCAAACCATCTTTTGTGGTTATTTTATGTCTCTGAGTTTGCAAGACTGCCATGCAGGCCTCTCCTGAGCTTGTCAGGTTAGCATGTGGCTCTTTTCCTTCACACTCGCTTGCTTTCTATTTCATGTTTATGTCTGTCAGCCTCCCTGTGACATTTATGGAGCATCTACTGGATGTCAGGTGCTGGGTTGGCAAGTGTCAGAAGAAGAAGGGAGAAAGCACTGCTCGGGAGCTGCTTACCATCTAGTGGAGAGGATGCACAGACGTACATGTAGGTTCTCAAGGATGTGAGGAAGGTGCTGAGACAGAAGAAGGGTGCATAAGGGGCAGGGCAGGCTAAGCCCAGCAGGAGAGGGTCCCAGGAGGACAAGACAAGTCAGGGCTGCCAAGTAAGAAAGGGGGAAGCTCATTCCAAGTGGAGGTCATAGAGTGAGAAGACATCAATTGGTTCCTTGTTCATGGGAGAAGGCAAACTAAGGCTGGGGTGGTTGGTAAGAGGGAGCCCTGGAGGGTGAACCTTAGAAGTGATGTGGTTGGAGTCTTAAAGCTGAGCCATCAATTTCTATCCAAGTTAAGACAAAAGAATTTGGCTGCATTTCAAAGTCCATTGTGATCTCTTTCCAACCATATTGCCTCCTCCCTGCAAAATGGGTCATATTGATGAGCATGACCAGTTTTTAACAGACTGCTGGCCATGTAACAGATGCCCAGAAAGTGTCCACGCTGATTAGTTTATCTAAATATTTCCCTGGTGAACTGGATAAAATGACAGCCATGCAATCTCCCACCCAGCACTTTGTGTAGCACACCGATTGGTTTATGCTTCTGTAGCAATGGTTTCCTGTCCACAGCCAGCTGTGAACTCCATGAAGGCAAGGATGGTTTCATGCCTTTCCGGACTCTCAAGAGCACAGCTTGCAGACATTCAGGGACAGAAATACTCAGGGTGCCTAGATTCTCTGGAGATGAAACCTGAGCTGCAGCCAGCTCCCTAAGTGATTATGGACCACTGGCCTGGCACACTGGCCTGCATAAAGGGAAGGAAATGGGCATGAGATTTACAAACATCCTGGCACTCACTGCAATCTCCATGAAAAATTTATTGGAAGTGATGGTTCCAAAGTTTCCTACCGTCTGAGAAAAATTCGTAAATGTCTGAGCCCTCTTGATCCTACTAACTCTCTTGTCCTCAACCGAGAATTCTTAGAATTTTTTCCATATGAATCTCACAGAACCAGTGTCCAGCAGAGTTCTTTTCCACGAGTTATTAAAGTAGATTTCACATTTGTTTCCAAAACTTCCCCCATAATCTTTCCCAGAAACCACTTCTGAGTAATGGGCTGCAGCTTGAGAAAATTACAAAAATTTTCTGAGGTATATTTAATGTCCCCTATAGATAATCCACTAAGGATAGAAACTATAGAGCACAAAACCAGCCATTTTCCCACAAGTGTACTGGAACCTGTTAGAATTCAAAGGATTTTTTATAGTAAAGAGAGTTTCACAGATTTTAGCCTAATTT